GTCTACCTCCAACCGACCTGGAGGACACCAGAGGCTCCCTCAAAGTTTAGGGATTTATTCTTCTATTTGAGGATAAGTGTCACCTACAGATAGGAAGGCAAAGAAAACAAACAGAGAAATAGAGGGTGGGGAGAATGAGCACAATTTTACCAAAAACTCCTAGCTCTTTCCAACAGGGATTTTTGAAGCACGTGACCCTGAATATTTTAGTTCTCCCCATTCCCAGTGCTTGTGTCCCTCCTGCCTTTTCGCATCTCTTGCTCAGATGCTCGGCCTGTAGCAACTCTGGTATGCATGTGGGCAGTGGTCCACTCAGCAGCATCTTTGCATGTCCTCCCCATCACCTTCGCTTCTGCCTCAGGAGAGGGGCTTTCTCCATGGTGAGCCGACAAGGTCTCTGCATGTCGGCACATTCAGATACTTATTTGTATATTTATGTCACACTTTCAGCTAAAGACCTTAAACTGGCTTCCAGTATTTATAAAATACGACAGATGTCACAAGAATCACATGCTTTAAAAAAGAGGAAAAAATTGAAAAGTGCAGCCAGCTTCACTGAAGCAGGAGCCAGCATCTAAGGGCCCTTCCCACAGGGCAAGGATGTTTCCTTGCCCTGCTTTTGTCCCTCTCACTCCTTATTACCGATAATGTACAATGTGCCTTTGCATTGTAGTGGCCAAGTCTTAGGAACACAGCCATGCTTGACCCATGAGTAATCCAATGTGTCCTCCACACCTTGAACTGAGCAGTTAGTTGCCTCACACTGTTCACCCAGTTGTAGAAATGTTGGCCAGTTAACTGCTTAAGTTCTAGTTGCCCTAAACAACCAGCTGGCTGTCCAGTTAGTGTCTGAATAGGAGACAGTCTGGAAATCCCATGTGGCCCACCTTGAGCTTCATGGTAGAAAAAATAAATATAACTTTACAAATATAAATATAATAATAAATGCAGTCTCCATAAATTCACACATGAGACCAAACAGTGACTACCTTCATGTGAATTTGAGCATATTAAAACCAAAATGTATGGTTCAGCCAGCTTGTTTTCAGTTGCATCTTCCTGCTCAGCAGAACAGGCAGGCAAATGGAATACGGATAGCTTAATTACCTGTCTCAACCCAGGATTATGGTGTATTGTGCCGAAACAAACCAGGATTCATAAAGCAACAACAAAACCTGATTTAAAGCTGGTTTATGATCCTGTCCTGTTTGACACAGTAAAATAGAATCTAGTTTTCAGGTGTGATGCTAAGCTATCCATGCTTGATTTGCTTATTGGAGGAGCAAAGTGGGGATTGTATGCACCAGCATCCATCTCTTACAAGCTGTGCTCTAATAAGCCAAGATTCCTTTTCTACTCCCATCCCGGAGGATTTCTCCTGCAGTGCTACTTGCTGGTAAAAGGATGCCAGCCCAGAGCCTGATTTTTTAAATATATCCATATGCTGAAGGGGGGGGGGGTCAGGGGGTACAGATTTGTGCTTTGAGCAGGCAGGTCTGTCTCTGCCACGCATTTTTCTCTTGGGGAGGTTTTTTCAAGTGTCACACGTGTCGAGCTGCTCTCAGCCCTAAACTTGATTGGCAGTTGTGAGCAGTTTTCCTGACTTCTGCTTTTTCTTTTTTCAGACACTTCTTCCCCTTCTGTGTGTTTCATGTGGGTGTTTTTAAGCTCCACTGTCATCAAAATGCTATAAGCTCACAGATTCTCATCAGGCAGTTTTTCCCTGTTCATGCTTTATTTTAATTACAGATGTATGTACTTCTGTGTTACCTGGGGCTTTGCATCCTCCAAGCGAGTAGGAGCCATGGCCTTATTTTTGGGTAGCCCCACTTTTCTTCCAAACCAAATAGGCTCTCAGCCGCCTGCGATGGCCAGTTAGAAGGGATGACACTGTGAGCCTGAGGGCCAAAAACAATTTCAGGGAAGCTTTCAGGGGATGAATTCCAGCAGAGTCAGGACCACAATACTAAAAATGCCCACCTATTTTAGCTTAAAGTTCTGCCACCAGTGGCTTACCTAAGGAGAGGAGTGCTTAGGAAAGAGGTAGAGTCGGAGGAAAGGGCATGCGCCACCCCTTCTCCTACTATTAGTTGTGCTTTCCAGTTTTTGTGGTTTTTCCCCACTTTATATGATAGAGATGACTCTCCATTTTGTGTGTGGGGGGCAGGGGTGGAATCTGAAAACATTACACCGCCTCCTGGATCAGCGTGGGTGCTTTCTTCAAGAACGAGAAGGAGCAGTGTTGCTCCCCAGTATTTTGTTTCTGTCTGTGCGGGCTGAGCCCCCCGTGTCAAGGGGGAGATCAGATTTTGTCTCTCAGAGTAGCATCCTCCCCAGGAAACCAGTGTGTTTGGGATGGAAAAGAGGCAGGGAAAGTGGACTTAGCCTGTCCCCAGAAGCTAAGAATCAGATCTGCACTTGACTAGAGGATTCCCCCCGCCCCTTCACCAGTGTCTGCTGCTTGATCGAACCAAGTGCATTGATATATTCAACCTTCTCCA